AGGGAAGGAGGGGGCAGTGTAATAGTGTTAGTCGGTCTGCCTTCGTTTTAGCGCGGCTTGAAAGATGTGGTTTTCTTATTCAGCCAGTGTCTTAGGATGTCCCCACTGTGTAAGCTGGAAGCCGCATAAACCTTATTGCTTATAAGCACGAAGACGTGGCTTAATATGAAATAAGAGATTTGGGGGAGGGTGTGTTACATGTGTCTTGCGTGTGTGCATTTCTTACATTCTGTGGGAAGATCGGTTGGGGAAATTGGGAGACTGGGAAAGTTCTTCACTCAGTCTCCCAATAAGGTTGATGTTGTCTGCAGCATTTCTCATAGATGTGTGGAGAGCTGCTTCTGTGTGTCCTCTGTAAAGGAACAGTAAAGGAAATGGGGTTAGGCGGGCGGCGTGATCAGATTATTAAACGGCCTATTGAGTCGGGGAGAATATTAAATTCAGCAAACATTTATGGGATACCTACTCTCTGTCAGGCAAGGCGGGAGACACCCAAGTGAACAAGACCTAGAAAATGGGGCGGTGGAAAAAGCTCTTTGGAGCCAGGGAAACCAAAGTCCCCAATGCCTTGGAATTGGCTAAAAGTGGGATGTTGAGTAAGCTATTGAACTGTCTACAGTGCATTCGTTTCCTGTCGGTAAAATGGGAATAACACCACCTGTTTACATCCCCAGCTGATTTTTATACAGATTAAATGAGATAATGTCTGCTACAAACAGGTAACATCTTGCTAGGCACTGAAACACCCTAAATTCGTTTCCTTCCTCTCCTACTGCTCTCTGGGAATTTCACTGGGGGAGGGTGAGGAAGAAGTGAATATAGATAAGTGCTTTATATAAAGAGATGTTGAAGTAGAGGTGTAGAATATGGGAGAAGAAGAGATCCTAGTTTGGGGGAATTGGGGAAGAATTTATGACGCCTCAGCATTGAAGTGGAACCTTTAAGGATGAGTAGGATTTCAGCAGATGCAGATGGGCAGGGGGAGGACATTCCACATAGAGGTGGTGCTGTCCTTTGAGAGCTGAATTGTGGAGGAAGATCATTGGGGGAAGGGCAAAACAGAGCCACCGAAAAGCTTTTTAGCTCTTGTTGGGTCTGACCTTCAAAGATTGTCTGGGTTGTTTTCCTTTTGGGTCATGAATTTCTCAGAAACCAGATATAACTCTATTAAAGTAAGTAGAAGAATGTCTGCAGAGTTTAATTCATGAATTTTTGGATTGCTGCTTTCTTCTGTTTGAAATTAATAAAGAATTATTTGTAGATGTTACTTTGTGACATCTGTCAAATGATATCTCTATTTGACAGAAGAAGCAGCTAATTTTTTAGACTTAGAGGTCTCTCTAAGATTATAGAGTAAGTTAACTGGATGAAAGAAGTGGATTGTGGGCTCTATTCAGTGCTCTTTCACAGATATTTAACACTATTTTTTGAAGAGGTGTTTTTAACCATTGTCTTTGAGGACAGTTATGACATGTTTCCACCTTTTGGTTCCCATCCCATAAATAAATACTTATTAGATTGGCATCGTGGAGATAACTATCACACTATTCTAAGATTCTTGGATATGTCATGTCTTTGCCTCCTGCCTGGGTTGGTTTGGAAGTAGTTGAATGTCAACATGAGCACTGTTAATCCCAAAGTCTTATTTTAGGAAAATTAATGTTCGTAAAACAAGATGTGATGACCTTAGTCAAATAACTTACTAGGATTTTTAATTCCTTTACCTATAAAATGAGATTTTTTTTTTATTAGATCACTGGTTTTTAAACTTTTGTACTGAACTCAATAATTTTAAGGAGGCACTTAGATTTCATTAAATTTCATTAAAATATAATTTAAACTCATAAAAAGTGACTATTATATAACATGCACTGCTTTAAATACTTTATATATGTTAATTTATTTAATCTTCACTATAATCCTGAGAGATAGGCTCTATTACTATTTGAGAAAACAGGCACAGATAATAAGTTACTTGCCTAAAGATTGCAGAGCTGAGTTTGAAACTGGGCAGCCTAAATCTAAACCGTGTTAACCACTGTCCTATATTGCCACCATACATATCCTTTTTGAAAAAATTTGTGGTTAGCTGGGCATGTTGGCATTCTTTAATCCCAGTTACTCTTGAGCAGTGGTTCTCGACCTGTGGGTCACAACCCACAGGAACCATATAAAAGGGCCACAGCATTAGGAAGGTTAAGAACCGCTGCCCTAGAGGCTGAGACAGGAGGATCTCTTGAGGCCAGAAATTTGGTTCCAGCTGGGGCAACGTAGCAAGACCCCATCTCCAAAAAAAGTAGTGGTAAACACATTATATAAAATTTAACCATTTTAACTGTTTTTAAATGTACTGTTCAGTGGCATTAAGTACATCCATGTTATTGTGCTACCATTACCACCATCTCCAGAACTTTTTCATCCCAAATTGAAATTCTGCCCATTGAACAATAACTGCCTCTCTTCTTCCATCCCCTCATAACAGCTTTTCTACTTTATTAATTTGACTGCTGCGGGTACTTAATGTAAGTGGAATCTTATAATATGTGTCCTTCTGTGGTCTACTTATGTCACTAGCATAATGTTTTCAAGGCTTATTCATGCTGTAGCATGTATCAGAAGTTCCTTTATAAGGCTGATTAATATTCCATTGTGTGTATGTATGTATATATATACCTACCACATTTTGTGGACATTTGGGTTTTTGTCTTTTGGCTATTGCGAATAATGTTATTATAAACATTGGTATGCAACTGTCTTTCAGTCCCTGCTTTCAGTTCTTTTGGATGTATACCTAGAGGTGGATTTGCTATTTTATATGGTAATTTGGTATTTAATTTTTGGGGGAACTGTCTTATTCCACATAGCCACACCATTTTACATTACCACTAGCAATGCACAAGGGTCCAATTTCTCAACATCTTGCCAACACTTATTTTCTGGTGTTTTTTTCTTTTTATGTTTTCCGTGATAGCTATTCTTTTGTTTGTTTGTTTATTTTTGAGACAGAGTCTTACTTTGTTGCCCTTGGTAGAGTACCTTGACATCACAGCTCATAGCAACCTCAAACTCTTGGGCTCAAGCAATTCTCTTGCCTCAGCCTCCCAAGTAGCTGGGACTACAGGCGCTTGCCACAGTGCCCAGCTATTTTTAAAGACAAGGTTTCACTCAGGCTCTGGCTGATCTCGAACCTCTGAGCTCAGGCATTCCACCCACCTCGGCCTCCCAGGTGCTGGGATTACAGGCATGAGCCACCATGCCAGCCAAAGCTGAGCTTCTTTTTATGTGCTTACTGGCTATTTCTATATTTTTGGAGAAATGTCTATTCAAGTTCTTTACCTGTTCTTAAAGTGAGTTGTTTGGGTTTTTGTTGTTGAGTTGAAGGAGTTCTCTGGATATTAACCCGTTATCAGATATATGATTTGTAATTATTTCTTCTCATTCTGTGGGCTGACTTTTTGCTGTCTTTTTTTTTTTTTTTAAGTAAAAAACCATGGAACACATCACAAATTTCTGTCATCCTTGTTCAGAGGTCATGCTAACCTCTGTATCATTACAATTTTAGTATATATGCTGCTGGAATGACCACTCACTGTCTTGATGGTAAACTATCCTTTAGTGCATAGAAGGTTTAAATTTTGATGAAGTCCAGTTTATTTTTTCTTTTGCTGCCTATACTTTTGGTGTCATGTCCAAGAAATCATTGCCAAATTCAGTGTCATGAAGGTTTTCTTCATGTTTTCTTTTAGGAATTTTACAATGTTAGTTGTTATATCTTTGATCTATTTTGAGTTAATTTTTGCATATAGTATTGGGTAAAGGTCCAACTTCATTCTTTTGTTTCTTTTTCTTTTCTTTTTTTCTTTTTTTTTGAGACAGCGTCTCAAGCTGTCACCCTGGGTAGAGTGCCATGGCATCACAGCTCACAGCAAACTCAGACTCTTGGGCTTAAGTGATTCTCTTGCCTCAGCCTTCCAAGTAGCCGGGACTACAGGCGCCCACCACAACGCCTGACTATTTTGTTGTTGTTGTTGCCGTTGTCATTGCTGTTTTAGAAGGTCCTGGCTGGGTTTGAACCTGCCAGCCCCAGTGCGTGTGGCTGGCACCCTACCCACTGAGCTATGGGCGCCACCCAACTTCATTCTTTTGCATATGGATGTCCAGTTTTCCCAGCATCATTTGTTGAAAGGACTATCCTTTCCCCTATTTTATGCGCTTGGTACACTCACAGACTCATTTTCATATGTGTGTATGTGTATGTATGCCATATATGTATATAAATTCTTAACACATTAAAGACCATAGTGCTACATGGTTAATTAGGAAGATAGGATGAGACAGATACTCATGAGAACAAAGCTCTCACTCTCCTATTTACTTGTGAATTTTAAGTTTGAAACCAGCCTGAGCAGTGGATTTTTATAAGGAAAGTTATAGATTGCAGTAGACTTTTCTTTTCTTTCTTTCTTTTGTTTTTGTTTGTTTGTTTGTTTATTGAAGATAGAGTCTCAAGCTGTCGCCCTGGGTAGAGTGCTGTGGTGTCATAGCTCACAGCAACCTCCAACTCTTGGGCTCAGGTGATCTTCTTGCCTCAGTTTTTCTATTTTTAGTAGAGACAGGGTGTCACTCTTGCTCAGGCTGGTCTCAAACCTGTGAGTTCAAGCAATCCGCCCGCCTCAGCCTCCTGGATTGCTAGGATTACAGGTGCGAGCCACAACGTCTGGCCTGCAATAGTTTTTTTAAAACATTAGTCTTGCATATATCTATTCATACAAAATTGTCTCAACTGTACATTACTGTGGCACATGTACTATGCTCAGGTAGGTAAGACACAGGCACATTTTTGTTTGGGTTATACTCATTCTGTATAAGTCATTGGTATAGTAACAATGAACATGTAACAGTCAGTTCTAATATAGTATAGATGTTTTTATGGGTCATTGCAAGTTTTGTGTTTTTTTTTTCCCACTCGCCTTAAAGCTGTGGTTAGATACTGTTAGTCAATTTTGAAAGAAAAGATTATCTTATTTTCTTAAACTTTTGGATCAGTATATTTGAAAAATATCTTGAGACTGCAAAGTGAACAGTTAAGAGCTACTGTCTGTACTTACAACTACTTCTCTGGTTGTAATCAAAACAAAATTAAACAAAAATAAATGGATAGCTTAGGTGGTCCTAGGAGTATAATTAACATCTCTGACTCACAGTTTCTCTCTTTGAGTTTGTAATTAATAAAATGTATTTGAACATAAGATAGTATTAGCACCATATTTGCCAGTTTTATGTATTTGGGAAGCTATATAAAATTTCATCAGAGAAAGTTTTGTTGTGAAATATTTTTAAAGCCCCAATTATGTGACTTTTGAAGCTTATCACATTCTTTTCTTGTTATTATTTTAAGATATCACACTTTGAGATAGATATCTTAAAATGCATCACTTATGATTTATAAATTGACTTTTTAAAGGTTTATATTTTTGCTATTAATAAAGTGCATTCTGTTTTTCTGCCGTAGGAAGAGTTAGGCATAATACAGAAATCTAAAAGAGATATTTTCTTCTCCAAAATAGAGAGGATGCCAGTTTTAAGTGGAGAATACAAGGAATTAGTAGATAATGAAATCGAGAAAGCAGGGACCACAAAGAAGCAAAAGGGACTGGGAGATGAAAATAGGGAAGATAAGCAAAGAAATTAGGTTTGGAAAAGGAAGGACAAGTCCTCCCTTTATGTGAAAAGAAAAGCAAGATTGGGAGGTCCAGGATTAATGGCTTAATATTATGTAAGACAGTTAAAATTTAAGCCCCCTGGTGAATTGGTTGAGCTGGCAAGTTGGTGACCAGCCTGAGCAAGAGTGAGACCTGGTCTCTACTAAAATAGAAAAATAAGCTGAGTGTTGTGAGGGGGTGCCTGTAGTTCCAGCTAATCGGGAGCCTGAGGCAAGAGGATCTCTTGAGCCTGAGAGTTAAAGTTGCTATGAGCTGTGATGCCATAACTCTACCCAAGGCAACAAAGTGAGATTCTATCTCAAAAATAAAATAAAATAAATAAATAAAGAACTCCCCTGATAAAAGTGGTGATATTTGATGAAAATTAGGACTATAAACATGTTGAATAGACTCAAGTATTGTAGAATTGTAATTATCCAGTTTTGCAGTGATGCTAAAGTTGGGTGCCTTTTTGGAAATTACCTTTGGGGGAGCTTACTCAGTTTAATACATGAAAAGAAGTATTAGTTAAGTTACTATAGCAAGACAAACTAATAATGTGACTTGAAAATACAATGTGTTCTTTATCCCAAATTTATATGCCTTAATGCCGCTATGCATGTTTCCTAGGCATGGTTTTTTCTCCCTAATTTTTCCTATCAGAAATTTACTTACCCTTGGAAACCCAGTTCCATTGCCATACACATTCTTTGTTACTTTATTTGACTCTAGTCAAAATTAATTGCTTTCTTCTTCATTCCTGCAGGCCTTACTTGATTTCCTGTATGATGTAGAAAATTGTGTATAATCTTACATGCCCTTGAATTCTGGAGTATTGGACCTGGTTTTACTCATCTGAAATGTCCCTCAGTCCCCTAAATATAATAGAAATTCAATAACAAGTTTTTATGAAAGCCTTAATTTGAAGCATTCTTTACAGTTGGTGTTTTATCTCTTGAAAGAATTCACAAAAATCTAGTAATGTTTATTCATAAAGAATAATTCTTTCTTTCTTTTTTTTTTTTTTTTTGAGACAGAGTCTCACTTTGTCACCCTTGGTAGAGTGCCATGGTGTCACAGCTCACAGCAACCTCAAATTCTTGGGCTTAAGCAATTCTCTTGCCTTAGCCTCCCAAGTGGCTGGGACTACAGGTACCCGCCACAATATCTGGCTATTTTTTTGTCATTGTTGTTTAGCTGACCCAGGCTGGGTTCAAACTCACCAGCCTTGGTATATATGGCCGGCTGAGCTATAGGCACCGCTGAAATAATTATTTCTCAACTCACTTGGTTTATTTCATATTGTAACAAATGACATTGGAACCTGGTGAAGGAAATCAGTCATCTCCCTTATGTGTGCATATAGTACTTTATAAATGTTACTAATGGTTCAAAAATATTTTTGTTTACCCTAAGTTTTTAGAAAATACATATATTTTAAAGCAGGAGCAGTGAATATGATGCATTATATTTGAAAAATCTTGGTTTTAGTACTCAGTGATACAGTTCCAAAGTCTGTCTCTTAAATCTGTTTCTTTGGTACTTGGTATTAGTGTTTGTCATAGCTGAAAAGGCAGCTCAGGGATGTAATACCCAAAAAGAATAAATGTATCTTTGGCTATACTTTGTATTCAAAGTACAAGTGTTCATTGTTAAATTTCTCTCCATCATTTATGCCAGATTTGGTTAGTAAAAATGTGTGCTCTATATGTCAGTCACCTGTTCTTGCAAACCAGTGTGAGGATTTACCATTATGTATTCTTAATGGGATCAAAATAGATCCCATTAAAATGGGACTCTGTTCAGAGGCATTTAAAAAGTTGAAAGTGGCTTCTCTATTAGAGTGTGCAGAGTATTTTAAGATGGCACATGTTTTCTATTGGAACAGAATTATTTCCTTATTATGTTCTAACATATCTCATTTTTCTTTAAGGCTTAGGTAGATAAACCATGTTTTTGCTTTTAAAAATAATGTCTAGGTAGCATATGGCTACAGCCACTTATCACAGATATTCCACAAATTTAGAATTTTAGCGTTTTTATAAAAGATAAATGCTTAACTCATCCTTACGTTGAACAGCTCTTGTGAATCAAATCTTTGGGGTACAAAATACTCTGGTCACTTCACAGCCACATCAGTAACAATCCCATAACACTTGGCTCTCTTCTTGCTTTGACTTCTCCTTTGTTTCAACAGTTGCTTTTAAAATTAAACCTTACCTTTTCCCACAACTTTCTTTTGTTGAGGTCAAAGCAGCTGCTTCCTGAAAGATTATATATTTCTTCCATAAAACATTGTTTGTATTAAGGAAGTCATTTACTATTGAGAATATATCTTTTCTGGAATACTAGTTTTACAAAACAGTAGATTATTTTATTTTGTTATCTAAAAAGAATCTAACAAATGCTATCACACTTCCATCAGAATACATAGAATTACTTAGTACCAGAATACTTAGGTTAATTTACATGATGTGTGACTGTTTGACAGGTGGCTGTAGTGAAGAAGCTTGTCATTCTGTGTGTTAAAGACGAGTACATATCAGTCCGGTGTGATGGCTCATGCCTTTGTAATCCCAGCATTTCAGAGGCGGAGGTAGGAAAATTGCCTGAGCTCACAGGTTTGAGACCAGCCTGGGCCAGAGCAAGACCTCGTTTTGAAAAATAGCTGGGCATTGTGGTGAGTACCTGTAGTCCCAGCTACTTGGGAGGCTGAGGCAAGAGAATCTCTTAAGCCCAGGAGTTTGAGGTTGATGTGACGGCACTCTACCAAGGGTGACAAAAACTCTCCCTCAAAAAAAGAAAAAAAAAAGATAAGTACTTACTATATATAGAATATATATGTCTGTTAAGATAAAAATTAAGTAAAAATAAAGCTTCTAAT